GGGGAAATCCTCAGAGGAGCGAGTCGTGTTTGGTCGCTGGGGAGAGTGCGGTCACATGCCGTCGAGAGAAAATTTGCCGCGTTAGAAAAATTTTCTAAAAAACGCACGGTTGTTGTTTTTTCACCGGTTTTTCCCGTTTCTCATGTGCTATTACCTTCCCTGCTCGACCTCAACGGCAAAATTTTGAGGCAAAGCTGGAAAATTTCCATTTTGACTTCTAATTTCTAGGAAATTTGAAAAGTGGTGGAAGTTTTGGAAAGCTAGAAAACTAGGAAAGTGGCAGATAGGGTGGAAAAGTGAATCATATCAAAGGAGAGATTTTCGAGGGAGGGAGTCGTATTTTCTGAAAATTTTCTTCAGTGGCAGGGCGCGCCCTGCAGGTGGCAGCCCTAACTAGGCGGCGTTTGCGGTGTGACGGGTGCACCGGATACTTTTACACCAACAGAACTGAAACCGGTTGAATCGAATTAGTCTCGCCAGGCATGCGCTGGAGAATTTGCTAGCATGTAGGTTTTTTCTCTTTTGCCCCTAATGTGGCTTATTAGCATGTCTCTGGACTTAATTTCGCGTTTTTGTGACATACTTCTCCAATTACACCTTTGATTTAGTGTGTTAAAGCGATGAACGGCGAACAACTGCAAGATTTCCTCACGGATCTTTCAAGAACGACAATTCGCCCTGGTGGACGAGACGATGTTGAAGTCACAAGGAAGTTCCTGGCCAAATGGGCAAACAACACAATGTTGTTAGCTAACTATATCACAGTGAACTATAGGTATTGCGTTTTTTTTATTTGTGTTCGTTTCATATTTTTTTACCTTTAAGTTCTTACTTATATGTTTCGAACATTGCTTAACAGTTTTTTCCTTATACTCTTGATGTTTTAGGGATGTGGACTTAGTACAGCCGTTATTTGCACAAATACTCGCTCTTTACTATAAAGGAGGTAAGACACGAGTTTCTTTGTCAGTTTAGATGTAGTTTCAAACTTTGCGCCTTTCTGATATGTCAGCTCCTTTTCACAGAGCAGCCAAGGCAATTAAATCCATTAAAAACATTTCTCTTATTGTCTCGGAAAGCCTTTTGAAGGGGGAGGGGAAGGAACCAGAGCACGTTGTACGTTGGGGATTCCCAGCGGGGGAAAGGTCGTGTTTGCTCGCTGGAGAGAGGTGGGGAAGGCAATTCCTTTTGAGAAAAATGTTTCGCTTGTTGTCTCAAGTACGCGAATGAAGGATGGTGAAGGGGACATACCAGAGGAGAAATTTTTGAGGGGGACCCGCAAAATTTTCCCCAACGGCAGAGCCGTGCTCTGGAAGGAATGCCGAGGTGGGTTAAGTTGTTCGCTCACACCGGGCTCTTTTCCTTTGTATTCCGACGAAAATTTCCATCCCAAGGCTCACAATAGTTCATTTGCGCCTTCATGAAGGTATAGTTCATTTTGTGGCGTCAAAAAACCGTAACAGGAAAATTGTGATTGCCATGGCTAACTATTGAGAAAATGCGCCCTAGGGGAAACGCTGCGCAAGATCAGTGAAGTTCTACCCTAAAAACCCTAAAAGTTTCACTTTTTTGTGGGCAAGTTGTACACACAGTGACACTTTCCATTCTAAGCCACCGGTCCTTATTATTCTTGGCTAGGTGATTCCTCGATAAAAATCACGACTTCTATCATTTTTACAGTTCCATGTCCCGGGTTCTTCCTTTCGAATCTTTTTTATTGAGCACTGGTCCATCGAAGAGAGAGAGAGAGCTTACGAAGTTCTGCGCAAAAGTCTTCACAAAATAAGTCTAGTAGTAGTGTCGCTTCTCATTTTGTTCATTATTTCAGGTATTCTCAGGCAGTACGCGTTGCAGTTCATACCGTCTTTTATCGGCACGTATCTTTATGCCCTGTCTAAGAAACAACAAAAGAGTGTCGCCGTATTTGAAATCTTCTTTCTTGCTGTGTACAATGAAGAGATATTAGACGGCGGTCCACAGTCGGAGAACATGACGAAAAAGGTAGGAATCAATGAGTTACTTATCTTTTCGTGTGCTGCTCCTCCTTCCTTTCACATTGATGATGTCGATTTCA